AATTCTTCTTTTCTTCTTCTTCTTCTTCTTTTTTATTTTCTATTTAATTTTTGGTTTCCGTAAATTTTAATCAATTCCTTTTATTTTATCTTTTTGTTTTAACTTTTTTTTTAAAATTGTTTATCATTTTTCTTCTCTAATTCATTTTAAATTAGAACTTCTACTCCATCCAAACTTAATTAATCAATCAATATTTTCTTAGAAGAGATAAAAACTTTGATAGAGAGTAAATAATTATGAACAGTTCTATCAATCAAGAAAATTCAAGATTATTTATCTATATAGAACATAGAGTTATAAAAATAATTGGAGAGAAAAGAGAGATATATATATGCTACACTTTATACTTTTTATCTCCTATAAATTTAATTTATGAACCATATTTTCTTTTATAAATTTAAATTTATCAAAATAACAACATAAAATAATATTTCAATATTTGTTTATATTATTTATTAATTTATTGATTTTTTAAATTTCTTCTTGAAACTTTATATAAATTTTTTTATATTAAATATAAACAAAAAAAAGGAATAAGTTTTTTGTAAAATAATTTTAGAAATTTGTCGTAAGAAAATAAATTTAATTAGATATGTGATCTGTCCCTATTAATCAATAGATATGTACATCAGACAACTATTCAAAATCACTATGCCAAAACTTTTAATGAATGATTAACGAAAAGCTAATAGTAAGTACTAAAAAGGATATTTCTACACAAAGTCAAGAGTTATAATGAAATAATTATTAATAAACTTAATTCAAATCCCATATAAACTTACAATTTCTAGACAGTACGTTTCATCTATCATCCTCAAATTTGCAAACTTAGAAAACAATAATAATATTAATAAACTTAATTCAATCCCATACATTCCGAACTATTGGGTTTGTAAAAAAAAGTGCAAACAAAGTCCAACAATGACTAGAGAAGAGTATTATCCATGATATATATATAGACGAGGATAATTATCTCCATTGCTATGAGGCGTTTTGGGTGAAAAAAAAAACAAAAATGTGAGACTTATATCCAAAGCGAACAATATCATAGCGTTGTGGAGATGCTTGGAATACCGTTGTCCTTAATACAAAGATTGTAGATGATACGTTTTATATATCATCCTCACATTTGTAAACTTAGAATATTATATATATATATTAATAAACTTAATTCACTCTCGTATAAACTTTCAAAGATGGTAGATGGTACGTTTTATATATCATCCTCACATTTGTAAACGTAGAAAAAAAATAATATTAATAAACTTAATTCACTCCCATATAAACTTTCAAAGGTGGTAGATGGTACGTTTTATATATCATCCTCATATTTGCAAACTTAGGAAAAAAAATATAACAAATCCTAGATCAAGGACTTTAATTAAATAAATACAAAAGTTAATGTAGATATTTAAATTTGAGACCCAAAATAGGTGTTCTATTAGCCAACCACGTGTATGGTGATTAACACGGACCTAGACTGATCCGAGTAGATATTTCCGCACGTGAACCTACCTCGACAAAATCGTCTCGTTGTACGAGATACCGTGAGAATTAGTACGATATCTCGAGAATATTCGTTTATTCTAGGACAGTGTGAAGCTTCATTAAGCCGTGGGCGTGGGCGGCGCATCTTTCTCTCTTGTCGTGTATCGTATAGTTTCCAAAATCTCGCGCCTTTTTCCCCCTACTTTTTGGGGAAGGCTTTATCTCTATTTTCTCCTAAATAATTGGTTTTCTTTGCTTTTAAGTTTTATCTAAATTTGTTTAATTTTAAAAGGCTTACAAAAAATACCCCTATACTTTATTATTACTTAAAATATACCGATATCTTTTCAAAAGATTCAATCCTACCTGGACCTTTATAAATATTTTAAAATATTATTTAAACAGAAAATCGTCATAAAATTTGGGACAATCTAATATTTTATTATTATTTATTTTTTAGTATAATAAACTCTCAATTTTACAGTTGATACTTGTGTCTTCACTCACTGAAGAATTTTGAAAATAATGTAGGAGAAACTATCATTTTTAAAGTGATATTATGATAAAATTGGGTATTCAAACTTTGTCGATATGGGAGGATGAAGACTTTTAAGAAAAATTAAGTTTGTAAATAAAATGGGGGGAAGCTTCTAGATTAATGATCTCATTGTTTCAAATTTTAATTCAAAATATTAACAAATATTTACTGAAAAGTGTTTTTGAAACGGTTTATGAAAGGTAATAAAGAAATATTATTTTCTTAATGGGCATAAAACTTACTATCGCTAGAATGAAAATATATGTCAATTAGAATTAAATTATAATATATATTTTTTTAATCAAAGGCGAAGGGCAAAATTGGGTATTTGTTGATGTTGTTGTAATTTAGTCAATTTTAAGGGAAAACGAAATTGGGAGGCAGCGGAGAGAGCTATAAATTTAGGGTTTCCCATTGAATGGTCGATCGTGGAAGCGGCCGGTGATTTTTCTAAGCCACGGAGAGATTCGGTTTTCGTTGTTCTTCATCCCTATTTCTAGATTCTTTCTTCCTCTGTGTTTCTGCAATTGCTTGAGAATCCATTTTCTGTGTTTATCAATGGCGTTCAAGAAAACCCTTGCTCTGCGCCTCTTTAACATATCCAATATCTCTGCCCGATCCCTCACCAAATGCCGAATTTCCTCCTCTTCACTTGGGTCTCGTGTTCCTCCCGAATCCAACGCTGCCAACATTGCTCACGATCCCGGAGATAATGGGGTTTTTCGCCGCTTCATCCACAAGC